CAATATGTATTTATATTATATGCCACTACTTTTATTGCGTTGATATTACAAGCCGCAGGACTTTATTGCCAGCAATCTTAAAGATATATTTAAATTGAAGTGGCAAAATAAATTTAAGAATATTATGCGATATCGTTCATAATTTATAACGGATTCATTCTAAAAATTTTATGCATCGAGATTTACATTCTGGTAATATTTTACTAAGAGAACGATATGAAACCTATAATACTGATTTAGGTTTATCAATATCGGTTGATGAAAACAAGATGGTTATATAGCACCAGAGGCCTTGGAGTTCACTCAAGCTGCAGATATTTACAGTTTTGGAATTATGATGATGATAGAAATATCAACTGAACGAAGGCCTTTCGATGGTCACAGAATTAGCGGTAAAAATTTGTCATGTATTGCGACCTGAATTTAATATAGGAAAAAGCCTACGACTGATGAAATTCGCAAAATGGAAAGAAATTACGATGATTATTATATGGAAGATAATAATTTTGATGATGAGAATGATTATGTTAATAATGATAATGGTTATTATGATGATGATACTTCTAAACTGATTTGATACGAAAGGAATTGTTTCAAAGTTTGAAAATTTTAATAGTAATCAAAAACAACTTAAACTAAGCAAAGATATCCGTATTTATGGCAATTTATTTTTTATAAATAATAATGTTAAATAATATACTGTATACGTATTGAGGAGGTTTAATTTATATTATATATATATTTATGAAAAAGTTTTCAAGTTTGTTGATAGTTATCATAAATGCTTTTCAATAAATAGGCGTGAGTAAAAAAAAAAGAATTTTATAATAAAAGTATTTATTCATTCAGTTTGTATAGTTTGTCTCTAAGTTTTCAAGTTTCGTAATTTCGGTTTATTCGTGCGTATTTAATGAGAATATAGATATATTATTTTGAGATAATTTTGAGATAATTTTGAGATCGCCATATTAATTAACGCGAGATTAGCCTGGCAATCTAAGATTTGCGGATTCTCATCTAGTATTATTTTAAATTAAGAGCAACTTAGCTTAACCTTCTTCACTCTAGCAAATTAATCATGCCCATATCCATGACAATAAGATCGATTCACGCTTCCAATTCAACCAAATATATTACCTATCTAGTTCAGATTGATAAAAAAAATTTTTTTATTGTGATTTTATTGTGATCATTAAATACATTATTACAGGTTCAACAAAAATGAAATATACAGTTTACAGTATGTATTAAACAGTAAAAATCTAAATTTTCTATAATTTATAATACAAGGTATGAATCTATAATTAACTTAATTTGTCTATCATAAACTCAACAAAAAAATAATATTTACACTTTATTATCATTAGTCTTATTGCTTTGTTTTTTCTTCCATGAGACTTCCATATTCCCAATTTTAATCTTACGAACCGGTGTTGGTGGTTTCTGAGGTTGTATAGGAGCATTTTCTTGCGGCCTATACAAAGGTCTCATGAATAGATTCGACAATCGATCAAAGAAAGTCGGTTTTGGAGGAGGTGTTGGTTCAACAGTTGGTCTATCATTAGGCCAAAGATCTGATGTGGTTGGTCTTCTCAATGCTCGATTATAGATATATCGAATTGCGTGAACAAAGTCGCGATACAGATCAATGGGAATTAATGAATCTTTCATGGATTCTAAAATTAGGGTTGGTTCACGAGAATCCGGACGGTAATCTTTGTAACGAAATGCTTTCATTTGTATTAATGAGAGTATAGTGAATTCAATAGATACCATGACTGCTTGTATTCCCGTTGAAATGTTGTATGGAGTCCTAAAAAATTTCGTTGATGAATCATACAGTAGTAATCGCATGATATCCAGAGATTAAAAGTTAACAGTTAAAAGTTGTTACTCTTACCAATACTTTGTTTCTCGAATATACCCTAAGAATACGAGAAATCCTAAGGCATGACCTTGATAAGTAACTAAGAAAAGAGCCTATAAAGGAATACACAATTATTATATAAATATATTATTATACGAAAATCTTATATCATCAATTCATCATACATACCGTGTTTACACATATATTTCTCAAAAACCATGGGTAGTCATTAGCAAGGATCTCTTGAACGGGCATGAACAACATATTCTAAAAACAGTACGTATCATAAGTTTAATTTGGCATTCTGCTTGTAATAAAAAATTTTTTTTTAAATTTTTTTCAATTACAACATACCATGCATATATTTGCGATGAATCCTGAAATTGTTTGCACAGTCATTAAATAAATTTGAGGAAAATATATAGAATATGATTGCTGGCAATAAAGTCCTGCGGCTTGTAATATCAACGCAATAAAAGTAGTGGCATATAATATAAATACATATTG